GTTGTTTTTCTCAAATCACACGAGCACCCGTTCTAATGCACAAATGGTACCTCTCAAAGTTGCTCAAATCGTCTACAATCTGATGTATGGTTTAGTTTCCATAGCAACGATATCAAACTCTGAATTATTTGTTACCACTAGTTCTCGTATCTGCCTACATAAATATAGTTTTCAGAACTCTCTCGCCTGTTATTGGAGGCGACTGAAATGCATTTGGCTGAACGGTTTCTGTGACTAACTTGATTGTGGTGGATGTTTTAAACATACAATGGCGCTAGACGTTGATCTTATCAATCACTGGTTTGTCTGACCCGGACACGACCATTTACCGTGATGTAGCTAGAGTACAAGTTAGGACAGCGTTTACCAGTAAACCATCACATGCGACAGAATCTGGACCAGGCAATCACGGTGTCAATAGCATGTGAATTTAGTTTCACGCCGCTTTTAGCAATATTCCAGCACCAGAAATTTACCTCACACATTGTTCCTATGTGGGGAATCTACGCTTTCACCGCTACGCTACCACACCACCCCCACAATAACATGAACAAAGACTATCTTGGCCTGATGGCTATGGTGGCCTGCAATCAAACACGAAGGTCGTGCATTTTTACCACTGTCTATATAAATATGCATGGTTACAACATCCACTTGTTGCTGGTATAACCCGTGAAGATCCGCGTAAGAATTGATCTTCAGCAACCTGTGCTGGTCTTTACAGATGGCTAACGAGACCGGGTGGTTAGACTAGCTGACCTGATTGATTCATGTCATTGTTTCCCAATTGGGCAGATCGATGCTCATGATGCCAGTCACTGGAATGTCTGGCCCAGACTCGCTTATTTACAAGCGTGGTCACACAGCTGGAATGTTGTCGAATGTGGCGTTATACAATATACAAACAGGAACCCAACATGTTATTGTGGGAATCTCTGGTCATTATGATTATCGGTGGTCAGCTCATACAGTTTTCACCGCTCTTTTGTCATCTATTAGGGCGGATACTCGAAACGTGTTATTGACTTGGTTAAAGCGTTCGCTCGTCCTGCCGAAGACACGGGTTCGAGTCCCCATATGGGTATAATGTGTGAAGCCCATTTCTGGTGTCTCCCGACATGATACATGGAATATTACCAAAAGCGGCGAAAAACTAAACTCACCCATTTACAGCCCCCTGACCACAGTGTCGGGACAACTATCTCGCCTCGAGTAATTACGGGTTATATATCCCAAGTCTGTTTCAACAGAACCAACATGTCGCCGGCTTCAGACATTTGACACATAACGTCTATTTGTATATCACATTTGCACTTCTATACACTCGAGGTCTCTAGTTCCAAGGGCGTCAGCCCGGCGAGTGAGAGGTCGATAGTTGGATCTCCGACCTCGTCACTTCAAAAGACGTTTACTTGCTGTTACCCAGCCTGGCGCTAGGTAGATCAATCAAACACTGGTCGGCTTGGAGTCAGATTTGTGTGTCTGTCCGTGTTAAACTCTGGAAACTTCGTGGTCAAGCACAATACAGCCGGCTTAATTCCGGGCCACTACAGACTGACACCAAGACCCGTGCATGCACATCTCTCTATAAGTGCAGTATGTGTATTCGTTGTTTTACGCCGCTCTCGGGAATTTTACATCTTTATGACGACAGTGTGTAAATATACGACCAAATAATCCAGTGACTGACATGATGAGCATCGATCTGCCCAATAGGGATACGATGACATGCATCTACCCAATCAGCATGCCTGTCCACCCAATCCGGTTGGTCACCTCTTGCAAGCATGGGTTTCTGAAGATCAGTTCTAACCCGGATCTTCACGGGCCCTATAATAACACTGACTACGAGTTTATACTTCGATGGAGACACGTAACGGTATAGTATGACCAGAAATTATTGAGAATTTTAGGAATATGTTTAATTGGATTTTTAGTATAAACAACCTTGACCAGCTATCAAGTGCTTGCTTTCATTCAAGAGAGACAACTCCGTTAATCCTTTTTCATTAGTTTGTGAAGAGTTATCCCCCTTTGTTTACTTGCTAGCGGACGACATTTTCAGTGATCCTCAGTTTGGATGATTTAGAGAAGAGGAAGTTGATTTTAGAGTATTATAACAAGGACATCAGATCAGCTAAAGTGATTTCAAGTAGAACAGGCATCCCTTTGTCCACTGTTTATCGTGTTTGGAAAAATATTGCAAATGGATATGGCACTGAGCACCGATCGTGAAACCTGATCATAAAACCTGAACAAAAGGAGCGAAGGTTGAACTGGTGCTTACAGGATAGAAATTTTAACTTGGACAATGGGATTTTCTCAGATGAAAGTTCTGCGTGGCTGTTTCCTAATACACTGAAATTCTGGACCAAACAAACTGAAAAACCTTTGTATTAGCGCCCAAAGTACAGTCCGAAATTTAACGTGTGGGGTGGCATATCTGTGTTAGGGGCGACGCCCTCTGTGTATTTGAAGGGAATATGAACAGTGAGCGGTACACAGATATTCTCGAGGGACATTTACTTCCATCTGCTCACGTGTTCTATGGACATTTTTGGATTTTCCAGCAGGACAACGACCCAAAACATCGCTAAAAGCATTCACAGGCCTGGTTTCGGACCCAAAATATGACATTATTAGATTGGCCAAGCTATAGCCCTGACCTAAATCCAATAGAAAATGTTTTGGGACTTATGAAGGAAAGTGTCAATGAGAATAATCTGACAAATATTGCTGAAATGAAAAAAGAGGTGGTCCGATATTTGGACAGCATGGACCACGACTTTCTAACTTCTTTTATCAGTAGTATGCCCCGCCGCATTGAAGCCTGCATTGCTGCCCATGGTGACTTGACAAAATACTAACTGTTCACCTGTCTTTGAATCTGGAGTTATGTTCTGCTAATATTCACATTTAATACGTGAGTAATGAGTGAGAAAAATATAAAAAATTACAATCTTTAAATTCTCAATAATTTCTGGTTGTACTGTAATTCGTTACGAGACAATAATATGGAAAAAACCATTGATACCAGATGCCAGATTCTGTTATGGAACCTGTTCCTGCGTTGCCTGGTGCAGAATACATTCTTCGTCCATGATACAATCGTGATAGAGGTATGCCTGCAAAGGTATCGAATACAACAATCGCATGCGAACCAACAACCAACTCAGGCCATATATATTTTCATTCGTTGATCTCGTATTTTAAATGTACTCAAATGGTTGTCACTGTACAACGGAGTGAGTGAGACAGTTTAGTTTTACGCCGGACTCGGCAATATTCCAGCTATATGGCGGCGGTTTGTAAATGATCGAGTCTGGACTAGACAATCCAGTGATCAACAGCATGAGCATCAATATCTATGCAATTGGGATGCGATGATATTTGTCAACCAAAGTCAGTGAGCTTGACCACCCGATCCCGTTAGTCGCCTCTTACGATAAGCATGGGTTACTGAAGATCAATTCTAACCCGGAGCTTCACGGGTTGATAGTGCAACGGGGACAGTGGGTTTAGTTTCGCAGCATTAACATCGCTTCTAACAGTATTTCCGTGAGTTTGCTTTCAGTGCTTTCAGTGCCTGGAGAAATGCCCCAAGTGATGCACTTCTTGTTGAAACCTGCAATCAAGGTTTAGTAACGTAACCAGGGCGAATCTGGGATTGGAACCAACCATCATTGTTTTCTTGCACCACGGGGGCGAGGGGGTAGCCTACAGGTTAAAGCGTTCGTTCGTTCGGGGTTCGATTCTCCACATGGGTGCGATGTGTAAAGCGCACTTCTGGTGTTCTCAGCCGTGATATATCGGGAATATTGCTAAGAGCGGATTAAAACCCAACCCACTCACTCTCACACGCCGAGACGACCTTTACTCTGAGGGATGCTATCTATCCTATATACACACAGGGGGTAATATATTTGGCCACGATATACGGTTACTTCGTGCTATTGGCTGGTCCGTCTTTACAAATACTCGCATGTATGGGCCCATATTCATACTTGATGAACTCCCGTTCTGTCACGTTTGTAGTTAACGGCACACTTCCAGACTGCTTTATGTAGCTGTACGCGTAATCAAATTGTAAGATGACACGTAAAGGTCTTTGCGCCAGAACGGTAACGCCAGAAGACACTGGTCGATGACGTCACATGTCACTGCCCGGAAGTAGCTTGACGATGCGTGGTAGCATCATGCGGGGATGTTTCATTGCCACAGGTGAAAACCGCGGGAGCTTGGCACTCATCCCATTACCATACGATTCGCTGACGTCACAGACATGTCGTGTGTTTTTAAGACCTGAATACTGTCCGTGAATTCAACACCCTGATAAATTGCTAATCGATTTTCTTTCAAAGAGCAAGACAAATAAATGTACGTGCCATGGATTGCAGAATATTTTATTTGGGAACCCCGATGTAGTTTTATCGATGTGTTCATCCGAGTTTGCGAGAGCTATGCGTCCGGTTAATTTCTTGCCTCTTTGCCTGCTAGTCACGAACGCGGCTTAGCGCGAAGACATGTAAATTAACGCGATTTAATCAGATGCGAGCTCAGATCGCACTTGAAGCACGCAAGCCTGTCGAGAGGTTGGTGCATCACCCTGGCGTCGTCACTGAGGATAATAGTGGCCGTCTCGAACACTGAGCCCCCACTCCCCGCCCCTCGCACGTATCTGCCCGCGCCCTAGGCCATAAGCTTGCCTCTGCCATACAGACCCGATCACAATCGATTGTGAAAAACAACAGACATAGCTGACCCAGTCTGCTCTCTTTCGTATACAGAATATCTATGATAGCAGCACATGATATTTCCAGTCATTCGCTTTGATAGGGTTTATAATCCAGAGCAAGAATAAATCTGTCCATTAATCGGGACTAGCACGCTCTCGTGTTATAACTGTATTGTGAGCGCTGTCAGATGTGACGTGTCGGCGACTTGGTCTCTCTATATCCAGCTCCCTGACAGCGCAACCTACATTTATTGTGATATTGTGTGGACAGCTTTGATAGCGCTCTGTCTGTCTAGCCCTGACACTGTAAGGACGTCAGACCTATGCAGAATCACACTTGCGTTTCCTCCGAGCACTTCGACTATCGAATTCCATTGTAATTTGACTGTGTGTGTTGCGTGATCTAGAAACACCACACACGTGAGTAAGCTTCAGCGAGAGGTATTCGTTTACAATTGGCTGCGCATGCGCATTCTCGTCGCGCAACCTTGTATGAGATTTCAAGTAGTTGGCGGCATTGACTGTGTGTGTGAGAGAGAGGGAGACTTTGATCGGTGTGGGCTTTCGCAGACAGCGAAGGTATCAATGACACATGCTCAGACTTCGCGCAAAGCTTGGATGGAGTGTTCATGCTAGTGTGAGGTGGTTTTAGACATTTTCTGTCGCCGAGGATTTCCACTACACCATGTCAATGCCTCACCGCGCCCATAGACAGCACTGCTACCTGTGCGATCTTCCTAGGACACCATGGGCTATGTTACATGATTTCTCTGAATCTGTGTGTCGAGGATGTGTCAACTATGAAGGACCGGATCGTATAGAAATGGTCATCGAAGCAGCGAGACAAATGAAACGTGCTCATGGATTCCAAGAAGGGCGATCGTCTGTCAAACAGGGACAGCCACCGTCACACGGACACATGCCCCCACGTCACCATCCTGACGCACACTTGGAACCCCCGCGGATACACCATGGCCCCCCTCCACCAGACAGGTACCGGAATGTTATGGAATACACCCCGGGGCCAAGAATCAATGGCATCGCTGTCGGACATGTTATGCATAGACCAGACGAACAGCTTTCCGATCTTCAACGGGGAAGCCCCACTATTCCACGAGGGCCCCTCCCCCCTCACCAAGGATTTCCTGGCCCACTCCCCCCAGGTAGGCATCCCCACGGGTTAGGGCTGATGCCCATGCCACACCCTGCCCCCATGAACGGTAAGCGTGGGGAGGCAGAGGAGGAAGAAAGTTCCAACCATTCAAGTAGTGATGAGAACGGAAACAAAATGGGACCAATAGACGATCCGGCCCTGAGGCCACCACTTGTACGTGAGACTGTGGCAGTGTTGTCGTCTGCAGTGCCTTTTGAGATAAGATTCAAGAAAGAACATTCATTGTGTGGACGTGTGTTTGCTTTTGATGCAAGTATCAAACAGGGTGCTGAGTATGACTTAAAAATGTTTGTTGAGTATCCTCTGGGATCGGGTACAATTTACAGCAGTGCTTCTGGGGTTGCCAAGCAAATGTACCAGGATTGCATGAAGGACTTTGGTATTAAGGGATTATCTTCAGGTTTCAAGTATCTTGAGTATGAAATGAAACATGGAAGTGGTGACTGGAGATTACTTGGTGATATGTTGCCAGAGTTGGTACGCATATTCAAGGATCCTGTTAAGAAGGATATGATCCCCACACCCCACGTTGACAGCTCACTTCCCCCTTTGCCCAGCCCCTCCTCGTTATCGAGGGGTCATGCAGGGACACCCAAGCCCCCTGTTCCAAGGTCTATGTATGAGGGAAGGAAACGCAAGGCTTCGCCTGACCCAGAGGGGGAAGTTAGAGGTAAGCTGTCAGAAGAGCAATTTAAACGTCAACAGTGGATGCAAAATCAATCAGAAGCTTTAAAACTTACTATAAATTCTGCTGCATATAGCTCTGGGATGCCAAGCTCAACATCAATGTCACCCTTGAGTAATCACACCCCTACCCCACCGGAAGCTGGAAGTGGACAGAACGGCCCTTCGCCAATGGCGGCACTGATGACCGTTACAGACAATATTACACCAGGTGGGTCACCAATAAGGGGAGAGGGTGGAATTAGACATGGCCAAAGACATAATCATTCCCCAGCTACCCAGCACTTGTTTCGTGGTCGTTCAGTAGCTCAGGGGCCAGTGTCTGATGCAGGGGTTGGTAGTACAATGCCCGAATCTACAGTCCCAAATTCAGAAACATTAAAGTGTACTTTGTGTCATGAAAGACTAGAGGATACTCACTTTGTTCAGTGTCCCTCTGTTGGTGAACACAAGTTTTGTTTTCCTTGCTCAAGAGACAGCATCAAACGTCAAGGAGCTGGGGCAGAAGTGTATTGCCCAAGTGGCAAAAAGTGCCCACTAGCTGGTTCAAATGTCCCCTGGGCTTTCATGCAAGGTGAGATTGCAACAATTCTTGGTGAAGATTTCAAGGAATTGAAGATCAAGAAAGAGCGAGATACTTAAACACACTGACAGTTGTTTCATATACAGTTTGTACCAAAGAATGAATTTTAGCTGAACTTGTAATGGCTTTTCTCTTGTCAAATTGTCTCCATCATCATGGTATCGAGAGGTATTTATGTATTTACAAATATCAGAAAGAAGTGTTCTTTACAACTGAGGTGTTCTTTCACTGCCGCTAAACAGTTTGAACATTGATACATTGTGACTTGAGAATGTTAACCTTGAACATGGTGTCCTGTTAGTAAGACATGAGGCTTATGAGACTGAATTGATGACTGCAGGTAATGCCACAGACATGGGTGCTGTGGCTCACTACAAGAAGTGCGATTGACTTGCCGGTGATGTTAGCCAGAGGCTGTGCTATTTTGTGAATGGCTTGCGAGGCAGGGAGAGCACCCATTGAACCCAGGTTGGACAATGTAAGGTCTGGAGTAGCAAACCTGAAACACGCTCTGTACATACTAAACATGTAGCTGTTGCATTGCTGACCATACATCCACGTTTGGTGTTTGTGTGGCATTCGAAGCCTGCCAGGTCAAGGATGCGTTGCTACGGCAATACGACGTGACCAAAGCCACGAGAGTACAACATCAATGTCTACCCCACCCTTGCTTAACTTCATCACCAATAGTGTTCTAGCTTTTTGCCTTGTTTGATTCAGTAATCTGCTTCATTGATTACATCCTTTGTGCTATTACAAATTATATACCTTTGTTCTTTCATTCACGTGTTTAGGCTTGTTCATGTTGTGATCTTCAAATTTTAGTGTCTGGATGACAGCTGTCTACAAAGTTATGTTTTATGACTTCACATTGTTTAGAAAATCTATCAGAAAACATTTTGATGTAGTTATATTTCAAGGGAATTCTTTTAATTTAATTTTGCTTGAAATAACTGATTTGACATGAATAAACTGCTTTTAATTAGGTAACTGATAGAAAGGGGATTCAGTTTCTATTGACAGTGTTAACAAGCTTGTATCGTGTTCATATCGTAACGTTTTCTTGGCAAAAATGCTCCTCATGAACTACTGAAATTTTGAATTTTGTTTCATAAATTTTCATTTAGTTTATCCTTGAATGCTAAGCTATTATTAACATATGCTTATGTCATAATCCTATATATATAATATATATATGCTGTAAATTGCCTTTGTGTAAGGGCTGAGGTGGAGTAATATTTCAGAAAGGGCCTGGTTTGGACTAAGACAAGCATAGCATTTACCCAGCAGAAGGCAGTACCATTCCATTAACCTAATAGACTTGTTTCACTGTGCTAAACATTGTGTGTTGAAATCAAACTGATCTGTATAAAATCAATTCAGACATCTGAATGTTCACTTGATATTGTTTTTTATTTGTTTTAATCATCTGCAAGCCATCATTTTATTTTCTATGTTGCCCAGGTTTTGTCTAGGATTAGAAATAGCTATTAACTCTGAGGCATGTAATTGTCTTTCACCAGTCAGGATTACAGTGAAACTAACCATGGTTCCCAAGAACAATAAGAAACCATGTATATTGTGTAGTTAACAATTATCATTGATAAGCAGGCTTTTCAAAGAAGTCAATGGCCCCATATTGTTCGAAACTGAAATAATCACTGAAATATCTGATGTTACCATGGTTACTGTGGTTTATGTATGCTTCAATTTTTGGTTTTCTGAAAACGGTGTTCTTTGTCATTCACAAGAAAATGGCCATTGATGGCTGGTATTTCATGTGAATACAGTAATCAAGAAACAAACATTCAAGACCAGGGCTTTTTTAATCTTAAAAGCAATTTTGTATGTCAAGAACATGTGATTTGACTTAAACACAAATACTTGGACATTCAAAATCCTGCATCTGAGTCTGATGTATATATTTTTTAAACACCTGAGTATTAGTTTACATTCTGAATTTCATGAATAGAGATCAGTTGTTTTTTTCGCCCTCATCTCATCAATAATACTTTTTGTTAAAAGATTCATATTTTTACACAACTGTATCTCCCACTGATAACAATGGCATTATTCTCTTGGTACAATGAATGTGTTCAATTTGTCATCGGGGTCAGACAGTTATCGTGTCATCTCCAACATTTTAACTATTAATCATAAAGAGGAATTGTACTTAAGACTGTTGTCTGATACTCATTCTCCATGACAACATTTCACCATTTATTTTAGTAAATATTAAACGTGTTCATAAGTTACAGGGGTGGTGGGATAGCCTAGTGGTTAAAGCATTCACTCGACATGCCAAAGACCCAGGTTTGATTCCCCACATGGGTGCAATGTGTGAAGCCCATTTCTGGTGTCTTCCACTGTGATATTGCTGTTATATTGCTAAAAGCGGCGTTAAACTAGACTGAATCAATTCAAAAGTCATGCTACCGTATTTGCATTGCTAGTCATCAGTGTAAACTAAAGGTAGCGTAGCTCCCGTCACCAGCAGTAGTTGCTAAACCACTACATCTTAAATATCCCTGTGAACATACCGGTCGGAACTTGTATTCAGCAACCCATGATCGTCAAAGGAGGCGATACTATGGTCAGGCTCAATTACTTGGTTGGTGCATGCCATTGTATTGTAGGGGCGGTGGGGTAGCCTAGTGGTTAAAGCGTTCGCTCGTCACGCTGAACACCCGGGTTCGATTCCCCACATGGGTTCAATGTGTGAAGCCCATTTCTGGTGTCCCCCGCCATCATATTGCTGGAATATTGCTAAAAGTGGCGTAAAACTAAACTCACTCATTGTATTGTAGATTAATGCCCAATCTCCAGTCCACAATGAATGTTTAAGGCCGCTGTCATATAGCTGGAACATTGCTGAATACAGCATGAAACAAACTCCAAATGTCATAAATGTAGGAGATCGAGTGATGCTGTCACCATGGCTACAAAGCTACCTTTTCTCAAAAGTTACAAGTCTTGGTAATAAGTCATTTATAGAATGCTGCCATATGCCTGGAATATTGCTGAGTGCGGCTTTAAAAAAAACCCTAAACCAAACCATTTACAGAATGTGTTTTGAGCACAGAATATACTTGCACATAGATGCATTGATAATTGTAAAAAAATAATGTTATCTGCTTATTGAATTTTCTTTTTCTGACGTTTTGTTGGTAGTTTTATTTCAATAAATGCCATTCTTTGTCTGAATTAGAAATCTTCCAACTGTTAAGGTCGAATGGTCCACTGCTTATATCTCTGCTTTGTTATCAAAATAGTTCATTTGCAGCATTTTGTTTACTGTTAGTATTCCATTTTTGTTATTTCATTGTTCAAATAATTGTTGAGTAAAAGTTTGTTTTTCAAAAAGCAATTAAAATGTATTGTCTATTATTTGTGTTTTTAATCATCTGTACATGTGCAGAATAAATGCACATTTACTGGGATAGTATAGGGGAGCATGTATGGGACATGGGTAAAGTATGATTATTATTATTATTATGCTATTTGTATTTGCTATTGGTGGGAGGTAGTATATTGTGTTAGTTGTTGACACCACGATCAACAACATGACAGCTTTTTGGCAACGGTCTGCATATAATCAAGGTAATCCAGGGATTGACATGAGCATCGATCTTGGGAGGTGATACAAGCATCAGTCATGTTGGTGACCTTGACCACCCAATCCTGTTGGTTTCATCTTATGATCATCATGTATTGTTGAAGACACCACTTTAATAATCTGCATCTTCATGAGTGGGACAGGTTGCACTGTGGCCATAAGGTACAGTATGTCATGATATAAAGGCCGGTGGGGTTGCCTCGCAGATAAAGCATTTGCTTGTCACACCGAAGACCTGGGTTCGATTCCGACATGGGTACAATGTGCGAGGGCCATTTCTGGTGGTATTGCTGGAATATTGCTATAAGCAACATAAAACTAAGCTCACTCACTCATGATACAAACATAATACAGAAAGAAAGACCAATGCTAATCAGAGTTATAAATTATGCTTATTGTTACTGTGAAGATGTGAGTTAGAATTGGTCTTCACCAACCCATGCTTGTAAGAAGCAACTAACAGTATTGAGAGTTCTGTCTCCGTGACTTGGTTGATGCATGTCATGGTCTCCCAATTGTGTTGATCGATGCTCATATCACTGGATTGTCTGGTCCAGACATTTTTTATTTACTGACCACAGTATAAAGTTGCAGTACTGCTGATGCGGCGGAACTAATGTGTATCAGAGTTACAAGTAAAGCTTGCACCTTCAGGGGTCATAATGATGACCCTTATGGTAAAAGGTCAAGATTTAGGATGTCACAAGATCGAAAACAGTAGAGGACATGAAAAAATCCCTCGTAATTTCAAACACTGCTTGTGATGAAAGAGGTGAAATTTGGGTTTAACGTCATCCGTGAGAATATTTCGCTCATGTGACGACGTGCATGCGAGAGTATGTGTATGTGCGGCTGCTTGTACATGGCAAAAAGTTCGACTTCGACTGAATTTGGTGGTAGTGCTCCTTTTTGGAGCAGAACTTAAAAACCTTTCCACACTCTCCTTCCACATATACACACCAAAACATTTGACATAATCATAACTAGTAGACATATTCATTAAGAGTATTTTGCCATTGAGGGGGATATTGATACATACATACATACATGTTTGATATGGAATATATTTTGTATTAGCTGCTGAATGGTATGATATGCAATACATACAAATGCATAAAAGATGCATACATATTGAATTTTCAAAATAATTTCGGGAAAGTTCAGCATGTCCAAGATTAAATTCTCTTTCAAAATCAAATTTGTCACAAGAATTTAGATTGTATATAAGATGAAAATGCAGTACTGCTGACCTTTATGTGGCGTAGGAAGCTGCCATTGCATATTTGTATTATTAATAAAGATACAGTACCATCTTGTGAAGTATGAATTCCCGGTGCTTATCTCTTAACAAAAATGCATTTATTATTTTCAATATATTTTTTCTAAGAAAGATGAGGTACCATTTTAAATAGTATGAATTCCTGCTGCTTATTATTCATTAATACTGTAAACATTAGTAACAAGGTAAGTAGTAAACATCTGGAGGATGCTTTGTGTGGTATATTCCAACACTAGCATAAGGTCAGTCTCATTAAAGTCAGTTCTTGTTGCTTGCTACTGCCACATAAAGATCTGAGGACATCCAATTACAGGTCACTTCAGATCAACCAATCAATTGGGGCGGTGGGGTAGTCTAGTGGTTAAAGCATTGGCTCGTCATGCCGAAGACCCGGGTTCGAATCCCCACATGGGTACAATGAGTGAAGCCCATTTCTGGTGTCCCCCGCCGTGATATTGCTGGAATATTGCTAAAAGCAGCGTAAAACCAAAACTAAGTCAACCAATCAAATGAATATTAACTGTGAAGTCAGCATTAGCCAATCAGAAAGCTGCTTACATTTGTTTAATGGCTTTGGTTTCAAGATTCCTTCTTTCCAGACTACACTTGAAAACTAATTTGCCAAAGGTCTCTATTTAGAATTAGGAAATTTGAATGCATAAGATTCTGGAATATCTAATGGATGGCTCAGATTGTATGGCTGTAGTTCTGAGGGGCTTTGGAAAGTCTCTCTATTTCTAAATGGTTATCCCGTTAAAGCTCATATCTGTTGTTCAGAGTGCTGTCTGTTTGCCTTTTAAGGTTGCATGATTACATTGATGTTTGTTTCACACCACACCGAACATTGCTGCTATATGTTAGGTGTATGTCAATGATTGAGCCTGGACCACACAGTCCAGTGATTGACATTGTCAGCAGCTATCCATGCAATTAGGACATGTATCAACCAAGTCAGCCAGCCAGACTCACATTCCCATCGGTTGCCTCTTACGACAAGCATGGGTTGCTGAACACTTAAGTCCCGAATCTTCACGGGTTTGCATGATCAGACGACACATTAAGACTTTCACTTCTCCAAAGTGATGCTCTGATGTGGCGATGGGGTAGCTTCGTGGTTAAAGCCTTCGCTCGTCAGGCCGGAGACCCGGGTTCGATTCTCCACATGGGTACAATGTGTGAAACCCATTTCTGGTGTTCCCCACTGTGATATTGCTGGAGTAAGCAATAAGTAAGCTATAAGCAGTGTGAAACTAAACGGGACGGTGGGGTAGTCTAGTGGTTAAAGCATTGGCTCGTCACGCCGACGACCCGGGTTCGAATCCCCACATGGGTACAATGAGTGAAGCCCGTTTCTGGTGTCCCTCGCCGTGATATTGCTGGCATATTGCTAAAAGCGGCGTAAAACCAAACTCAGTCAGTCAGTCAGTGAAACTAAACTCACTCACTGACACGTTGACTGGTTGTTCTGACATGCCCTGTTGTTTGATTACTCTTCATGTTGTGAACATAAGATCTGATTTTAATGAGATATGATTTATGTCATAACAATAATGTTTTGCCTGAGGCACTAATACATTTTCAAGTGGGAAAGCTGATATTTTCATCTGAGTGAGTGAAAGTCATTTATGCTGTATGCCTGAGAGACGAAGACATCTTCAAGTGCGAAAGCTGATATTTTTTATCTGAGAGTGAAAGTCGTTTTAGTCTGTAGTCAGCATTATTCCGGAAGCAGGCAGAGGGCTTGTTTGGCTAATAGAAAAAGCAAAGATGCTGGGGTCATTAACAGAATAACCCGTGAAGATCTAGGTTAGAATTGGTCTTCAGCAACCCATGCTTGTTGTAAGAGGCGACTAATGAGATCGGGTGGTCAGGCTCACTGACTTGTTTGGCCCATGTCATCGTATCCCAGTTGCGTCAATTGATGCTCATGATGTTGATCACTAGAATGTCTGGGCCAGACACTGTTATTTACAGATCGCTGCCATCTAACTGGAATATTGCCGAGTCTGGCTTTAAACAACTAATACACAGACAACATTAACGGAATAAACGTAACCTGGGTTATGCTGGTTATGTTGCAAAGATGGTACAAGTTTCAGACGAAACCACCATAGTCTTACAAGAGGAAATATGGTCGGGTGCAGCTGAACTAGTCGGCACACAAAGCAGTTCATGCAGAGAGAGAATCCACAGAACGCCCTTCATCTGGGTGGCCAGCCAAGAGCATTGTTACTACTAGTTACATAAATATTGTTCTCTCAGTTTCAGCAGCACCTGTACACAGTTGTCAGTGTCATAATTTGATGAATGCGTTGCCCAATATTCCCGGCCTGTTTCTGGGTGGCGCCACTGTAGATGTGCTAGAAGAAGCATGTAGACAAGGCCTATATTGTTGGTAATGGAAGTCTATGATATTTCGAAATGAGAACAGGAAATATCAACAATGTTTTTGATTTGGTTATGTCTATCCAGACGCCCCTCAGAGTATGAGTGGTTTAAGGTCACCAATGTCAGTTATGTCCCTTGCTTGTGCCAGGATCATATGGGATCGAATCCTAGATCCAGTTATGATCTTGGTTTATCTACACCATATCCATGTTCGTAACTATACTGACCAGCAATAAAAACGCAACTAAGAATTCATGAAAATTATTCTTTTTCAACATGAGTTTTGATTTGATACTTTAACACAATTGTTTTGATTTCTTGAATTGTGTTTCTTTTGCTGGTCAGTATATTTGCAAACCTTCACCACTTAGAATGTTCCTCCCACATTTAACTGACATTCTGCGATATACGGAACTGGTGTCAATACTCAGTACACAACCTTATTCATGCTTAATTATCCAAGTAACCTGAACCAACTGAAAAGTCAAGTTAACTTGAAAAGAGGTAGAGGAATATCTGTACCTTCATATTCATCAGCACAGGATAATAAAAGGTAACAAAAGGATTCTTCCAAAATAAACCATGAATATTGGGTAAAGACCAAAATGTACATGCACTGAACTGAAGGCACTTCTCCAGGTGTGAGGGGAGGGGCACCTGCCGGCATCCCCCCATCTGACTGGCTCTGCAGGCATGTGAGCTATGTGCTGCCTCACCTGAGATTCCTCCTCACAGCTCCAGATAAAGCTCCACTGCTAGGTAACAACAGAATTATGTAAGCCTGAATGCATGCATGTGTACTCAGGTAAACAACGACACGTGTGTTCGGGAGTGCTTGTGCAACAGGACTGGGAATTCTGCACCGTTTCTTGGATTAATCATCACAGAATTTACATTTCTTTACAAAACAAATGTATATGCCAGGAAACCTTTTATTGAAGTACTGATGGAGCATGTCTGTATTGGCATCGATCTGTTGAAACACTTAATTGGTATTATCATGTTTGTTTCAACTGTTTCAACCTGTGAAGGTCCGGGTTAGAATGAACCTTCAGTAACCCATGCTTGTCGTAAGAAGCGACTAACGGGATCGGGTGGTCAGGC